TATAACACTGATCGTACCTTGTATTAGTCCTGTAGTCGTAGCTAATCCAATATCGGTATGAATAACAAGGATGTAGAAGATATAGATCATCATGAGAATCAAATAAATTTCGTATGTACGTAGATATCCAATCAGAATCAAGGGTTTGTGTATCCTGTTCTATAAGGATCGACAGCCAATCAAATGGATTTTTATTATTTACTACAATCACATGTATTTTACAAACAGATTTGTTTGAAATAAGTCTATCTTTTATTTATATATAAGCAAATCAGTCATAAGTTATCATTTAAATATATATTCATATTATTATATATAACTGGTATATATATATATATCAGCGCCTATATGCAAAATGAACAGATTTTTCAGTAGATTCTAGTAATAATTATTAGAAATGGAACTGCCTATTTCGGTTTCTCATTTGAACTGGTCTCAAGATCGAAGACTGAATAATCCAGTTTTTTTTATTTCATGATCTTCCTTAGATCTATTATTTAAGTTCTTTAACCGATCCGAATAAAAATCTCTAATCTGAATATCTAAATTTATTTGGATTTAAGGGCCAATTTAGGTAGTCAGATTTAGGATCGAAACACTAATTGTCAGTAACACGAATCACATGAATCAAACTTGACCAATCAGATTATAAAGTGGGCGGTGTGACAAAAATTACAATTTTAATATCATAAATAGGTTGATATGTTTGACTTTTTATGACATACTTCTTTTAATTTATGAATTTTTTTGCTTTATAATTCTCGTAAAATGGAGTTCTATGCTTTTATTTGGCTTTTAATTGCCATCTCCATGATATTAAATGTTATTTCTGCTACCTCAAACACCAATTCTATCGCTCTGATCAAAAGTGCCCCTAAACATTCTTGGAATGAAATTGTTCAATTCAATAGAGACTATCTTACGTTTAGATACGGATTTTTAACCCGTGGCTCTGATCAATATGCTCTTAATAAACTCGCATCTGCTGAAAAAAGATCTAAAAGCGTTAATTTTACAAGATCTGATACATTTGGATACTATGGACAGGTCGCTATAGGTGGTCAAAAATTTGACGTTATGATCGACATAGTAGGTTCTGATCTTTTGGTTAGTAATTGTTCTTTAATAATTATAAATATTTACATTATTTTAGCAGTGAAAAATATTTTTAATACCAGTATTATTCTAATCATTAGGTTCCTTCAGTGGATTGTTGGTGTGGCCACAATAAATTTAACAAAAGTTTATCGAAAACATTTAAACACATAGGTAATAAATTCAAAATTTTTTACGGAGCTACAGAAGTCGATGGTATTCTTGGAGAAGATAATCTTTTAGTAGGCGGGATAAAATCTGACCAAATATTCGGTCTTACACTT